CAGGCACGTCCTCGGATCCGCGTGTTGCCCGTGTGGGGTGGGGCGTCTACCTCCAGTTGGGGCCGACTGGCCCTCCCGCTCCTGGAGCCTCGGACCCTTCCCCTCCCCTCCCAGGGTAGTATGGGGGAATCGACGGCCGCCAGACTGTCCCAGCTGCAGAAGTGGCGGCCCTGTGGTGGTGCCTGCAGTTGACGACGGGAGATATAGTAATGTATACCGACAATCAAATTGTGTTTGATGGGTGGCATGGAGGCAGAGTCGACGACCCAAGAGGGGCGCTCCGAGGCTGGTGGCGGAGAGTCCGAGCTGCGGCCCGAGTGCGCCCTGGCGTCGTCACCCTTCGTAAGTGCTACCCTCATCTCGATTCCAAGTCTCACCTATCGTCTTCCCAATCCCTTCTTGTCTCACGTGGGAATGAAGTGGCTGATGCCTACGCCCAGAGAGGGGCGGAGGAGGCGGGAGCGGCCATCAGAGGCGAGGTGAGAGCCCTCGGCATCGCTGACGCTTCCGCGACACTCGCCCAGCAGCGCTTGGCCGCGGTGGCCATGGAGCTGGCGGCGCAGGACCGCGAGCTGTGTGCAGGGACTCCCGAGGGGGGAGGGGGGGTGCTTCCAGGCGGGCCGTCGAGCTTGAGCGTGCGTCAGGCCATGACCTGGGGCGTCTTTCCAGTGGGGCGTGGGTTTGCCGTGTTGGGCCGTCTCTGGGATCGTCCCTTCTGGATTGGCTCGGGCTCGATGATAACTGCTCTAAGGGGGACCCCACCCAGCGGCACTTGAGCGATAATGATAATGTAGTGCTCGTCCCCCGTCCTGTCACCGAGGAGTTCAGAACTGCGAACAGGCAGGCCCACCCCTCCCATTGCGTGGCCATGCGCAATGGCCAGGTTTGGTGTTGGAAATGTGCCAGCCTTGGAACTGTGGTGAACGGGGGGGCGCCTTTTGCTCTTGGCGGAGCCGTGCCGTGAATGGACCACCCCCTCGGGAGATAATTATTTGAGTCGATTGCGCAAGGGGCTCCCCCCAAAGGGCAGCAAATGGCCCAATGAGAAGGGAGCGGGACGCCTCCAAGTCGAGGCAGGCTCTAGCGTGATCAAGTCGCTTTTGAAACACAAGTCTCGGAGATAGGCTGCTATCGAGAGCCGCCCCCCGAGGGGGGGGTGTAACTGTCCAGCTGTGGCCTCGCTGCTGACTGGCACCCTTCAGCATTCTCCCAGCATTCTCCTCCTCCTCCTCCTCCTCCTCCTCCTCTTCCTCCCCCTCCTCCTCCTTCTCTTCCCCCCCCCCCTCCCCCTCCCCCCTCCCCTCCCCCCCCCTCCTCCTACTCCTCCTCCTCATCGTCTTCACCTCCTCCCCTTCCTCCTCCTCCTCCTCCTCCTCCCTCCCTCTCCTCCTCCTCCTCCCCTCCTCCTCCTCCTCCTCCTCCGCCTCCTCCTCCTCTCCTCCTCCTCCTCATATCATCATCATCTTCTCCCTCCTTTTCCTCCTCCTCCTCCTCCTCCTCCTCCTCCTCCTCCTCCCCCTCCACCTCTCCCTGTTCGTGGCTGGGGTTCGCCTTTCCCAGCAGCATATGAGCTCCCAGTCGTGGTCGTTGTCGCCGTTCGTCATTGTCCGCCGCTTGCCGCCCGGATCCCCTATCCTGGGGCGACGGGATCTACACATATCCACCGCCGTTGGCCAGGCCTATCCTGGGCCCAGGAGCGGTGTATGTGCCTGCCCCGCCACGGGGGGGCATTTGCACCGCTGGCCGGCCCCCTTCCCCCCATGCCGAAACGCCGAATAAGAAGAAAACGTTTGCTAGCCTGGGGCCTCTCCCTCTCATTATCATAATCGGGCGTTGTCGTCGACCCCCGTCGGCTTTCCAGCGTCGGGATGTCGAGGTTCTCGGGCGTCTTTGTCCGCTCGCGTCGGCCTTCCAGCCTTGGGGATGTCATGCAGCGGCCGCACCTCGCCGAGGGGCGTCCGGGGCTCTCTTGATCATCCCGAGCGGCCGCTGGCGAGCCGAGTTGTGGCCCGAAAGTCAGGGGGGGGGGTAACGTTAGGGGGGCTAACGTTAGGGGGCTAACGTTAGAGGGGGTTAAGATTGGGGGCCAACGTTAGGATAGTTCCAATAGCGCTAACGTTAGGGGGGTACTTCAGGGGGGGTAACGTCAGGGGGGCTAACGTCAGGGGGGTAACGTCAGGGGGGGGTAACGTTAGGGGGGTAACGTCAGGGGAGGGGGTAACGTTAGGGGGTAACGTTAGGGGGGGTAACGTCAGGGCGTCCGAGGCTCCCTTGATCATCCCGAACGGCCGCTGGGGGGGTAACGTTAGGGGGGATAGCCCCAATAGAGCCTCGACAGCCCACACCGCCCAGGAAGTTGCGGATTCGCTGTCGGGGGCTTGTCGCCGATCGGCGATGTGCTTCGCCGATTTCGGGTCGATGTTTCCCTTCCCTGAGCTGGTCTCCCCCCGACATTGCTTTTCACTTTAGGACCCTCCACAACGAACATTCAACCTGGGATCCCCCTCTAGTCGGGTATTTTTCCACAGCCACTGCCTGGGGAGGGGGGAAAGCGATCTTCGAGGACTTCGGGATGCGATTCGGGCCCTGGTGTAGCAAATATCCGCGGCGAGCGGGGGGGGGAAGTGAGAAGGAAGAGGTCTTCTCAGAAGGCAGAGGGGCTTCCCAGAAGCCCTCCTGCCTTCTGAGAAGTTCTCCGTACCTTCGGGGACGGCATAGAGCAGTGCTCAGAAGGCCAGGGAAGACTTCCGAACCTTCTGAGAAGGCCTTCTCCTCCTCGACTCCCCCCCCGCGCTCGCGCCGAACACGTACCCTGAGGTCCGACACTGTCAAACAGTTGCAACATCGCCGGACCGCTCGACCAGACCCCCAGACCCCATCGTTCTGCGTCCTCTGCCGGGCCTCGCTCGCCGCCGAGCATAGATTTACATCCACCGCCCGTCGGCGACGACAGAGGTGGCGGTGGGCCTATCCCCGCCGCGCCTTCCCCCCCAAGAGGGCCCCGTCCGCGGAGAAGAGGGGGGTGATGACTAGGGGGGGGGATGGATATCATGGCGTGGGACATGATATCTCCCCAGATCTCATGGCGCCTCTTCTCATTTCCTTACGTCCCTGGCCCCCCCCGCTGGGCCGCGCACATGCCGCCGGTCATGGTTTGCGCCCCCCCCTCTTGGACCCTCCCCTCTTGGCCGCTCCTGACAGTTGGAAGGGCTTGCAGTCAACCCGCATAGCAAGTATCCGGAGGTGGATAGACCTCCTACCCTGAAGCGTCGATTAGTGAATTGGCCGTTTTCGGTTCGCGAGAGGGCGTCGCGGCCGTCATTTTTGCGGGTCCGGGTCCGTCGGTTTCGGTCTTAGGCCGTTTTCATTGAGGGGGGGTTTACTAAAGGGAGGTGTGTCCACCGCCGAAGTATGGGCAACCTTCACAGGTCGAAGAAGAAGGAACGTTACAAACATACACTTTCGACGCTCCGCGCAGATTTCTTGAATCTGCGCTGGGCCCCCCCGGCGGCGCCTCCGGCGCCGCCCCTGGTTCGCTTCGCGCGCCGGGGAGGGGGGTCCAGCGCAGATCCAAGAAGTCCGCACGGAGCGCCAGAAGTTCTCCAAGTAGGCTTGCCCTACAGGATGTCTGACTCAAACCCTACTAATTGGTCCGTTACCCCCCCTAATTCCTATGCCCCCGCCCGTAATTCCTATGGCTATGCCTATGTTTCCAATGGCATCCCCCAGCTATTTCCAATGGCGAGTCCTATGGATTTCTATGATTCCAATGGATTCCTCCTTGTCAGCATCACACACTCACTTGCACTTGTTTGCTTGCTCTTGCGTGCTTGCTCTCGATTGCTTGCTCTTGCTTGCCCTTGCTTGCCCTTGCCTGCTTGCACTTGATCGCTGGCTCTTGCTTGCTTGTTATTGCTCGCTTGCGCTTGCTTGCTTCCGCTTGCTTGCCTGCGCTTGCTTGATTTTGCTCCTCCCGTCCTGCTCCCGTCCTCCTTTTGTCTTCCTCCCATCCTCCTCTCGTCCTCCTCCTGTCCTCCTATCTATTTGGAGCCAACGCTAGCTGATATAGTTTATGTGTATACCGTCTTTTCTTCTCCAATTCACAAGGGTACCCTTGCATCTTTGCCTCCTCGGTCCATCCTTAGCCACTTTCGTTAGCCGCGCCCCGCTCGAAGAGCTTCGAAGTGGGCATCCAAGGCCCTTGCACCCTTATCGCGCATCCTTACGATACGGGTTCACTGTAAGGGCTGAGGGGCTTGTGTTAGTTCAACACGAGGCCCTTTCCTATCATTAGGCAGGTCTCGGAGAAGGGTCCCGAGCAGCTACTGACCCGATTCAGTGGGACAGCCGCGACTCTGAGTGTGCGCCGTGGGCGACGAGCGCGTAGAGCAATATGTTCCTCTGCTGAAGCCTGCGCGGAACGCGCATCCTTTTGGCAGGTTCGCCGGCCTGCCCCCAACGGATCTCTCTGTTCCTGCGGCTTGCTCGTTTGTTTGCCTTTCCTATCCTGAGGGCCCCTAGTGTTCCCTGACGGGCTCATGTTCCACCACCACCACCACCAGAAGTTGGAGGGGGAGGGGATCCTCCTCCTCCTCCTCCTCCCTCCCCCCTCCTCCTCCTCCCCCCCTCCCTCCTCCTCCTCTCCTCCTCCTCCTCTCCTCCTCCTCGTCCCCGCCTCGTCCTTCCTCCGCCTCTTCCTCCTCCTCTGTCTCCTCCTCTCCTCCCTCCTCCTCCTCCTCCTCTCCTGCCTCGCCCCCTCCTCCTCCCTCCTCCTCCTCCTCCTCCTCCTCCTCCTCCTCCTCCTCCTCCTCCTCCTCCCCCTCCTCCTCCTCGTCCTCCACCTCCCTCCCCCCCTCCAACTTATGGTGGTGGTGTTGGAAAGCACGCCCGTCGATCCCTATGGGCCCCATCTTCACATCTCTGAGCCGCCGGCCGAGCCTCGGCGCTCCCCGCGGGGCCTCCCCCGAGGAGCCTCCCGGCGCGCGAGCGCGCGCGCCCAGGGGGACCTTGCCCTGCAGCAGGCGCCGTTCCAGGGCGACGAGAGGCTGCTGCAGGCGCCGCTCTCCTCCCTCCTGTACCTTCCTGTACCCTCCTCCTCCTCCTCCTCCTCCTGCTCCTCCTCCTCGCTCCTCCTCCTCCTCGCTCCTCGCTCCTCCTCCTCTCCTCCCTCCCTCCTCCTCCTCCTTCTCCTCCTCCTCCTCCTCCTCCTCGCTCCTCCTCCTCCACCTTCTCCTCCTCCTCCTCCTCGCTCCTCCTCGCTCCTCCGCCTCGCTCCTCCCCCCCGGGAGGGGGGGAGAGAGGGGGCAGGGGGGGAGGGGGGGGGGGGGCAGTGTGTCCGCGACTGCAAACGTGTGCGGCCACGCCGGGGTGCGGCTTGCGATCTGGGTCGCCGGGGTCCGGGGAGGCACCGCGCGGCCTTCGTCGTGCCCGCCCTGGGCTCGGCGGAGAGCTCTGTCGAGGTCACCGCCCGCTCCCCAGGGTGCCAGTTCAAACCGCACCCTCTGCAACTCATACATCTCTGAGTCGTCGACAGGAGGAGGGGGAATCGATAGCCCTCCCAGGTGGGGTCCGAGTACATGGGGTCGGAGGATCGCGCCGCATCGCCGATGCATATGCGATGCAGTTCGTGGGTGGAAGGAGGGGGGTGAACCCAGCGTTCGCGACTTCGGATTGGCGCATGCGGGGGAGGCCAGGGCATGGAGGGAGCCCAGCGCCATCAGCTATTGCAGTGAGGTCAGTGCCGGTGTTGAGCGAGAGCAGTTGCAGACCAGTGATGGTGCACCAGCTCGCACTCTGATTCCGGAGCCGACAGTGCGCGAGCACCTTGGGCGCGAATTTATGGAGCGCGATAAATGGGGGGGTGAGAAAGGCGCCCTCTTCGGGCCCTGAAGGCCCCCTCCGGGGCCCTAAAGGGTCCCTTCAGGGGCCCTAAAGGGCACCCTTTCTGCAGCCCTCGCTGCTCCCCAACCTTCGCGGTCGTTGAAAGCAGGCATTTCTGCATTCCCAGAGTCCAATCTACTTTAAGCGCCTTCCCTGCTTCAGTGATCGCGTGGCTTCGCCTCTTCCGTCCTCCCAAGGGGGGCGGGCGGGCACCCGATCTACCTTCAACGCCGTGGTGCACCATCGAAGGTTGATGAAACCTCCTACCCTGACGCGTCGATTCAGGAATCGGCCGTTTTCGGTTCGCGGGAGGGGGTCGCGGCCGTCATTTTTGCGGTCCCAGGCCGTCTTCTTTAAGGGGAGGTTTACTGAAGGGAGGTTTGTCCAACGCCGACGCCAGCGCGCACTGGTGCCGGAGCCGACGGGGCGCGAGCACCGCGGGCACACCGACTGCAGCGCGAGCACGCGGCTCGGCGGGCAGGGCTGCGGAGGGGCCCATCCTCGGGCAGGGCCTCGGCGCCGCTCGGGCGTGTGCATATTTGTTCTCGGCGGGGGGTCCTCGAGGAGCGTCGTGGGAGCAGCTCGCGGACGGTGCACGCGCGGAGCCGGAACATGCACGTGGGGAGGGACGTCCGAGCGACGGCAAGAATCGGGGGTGGATAGGCCTCCTACCCTGACACGTCGATTAGTGGATTGGCCGTTTTCGGTTCGCGAGAGGGCGTCACGGCCGTTCATTTTGCGGGTCCAGGTCCGTCGGTTTCGGTCCCAGGCCGTTTTCTTTAAAGGGAGGTTTACTAGAGGGAGGTTTGTCCACCGCCGAAAGAAGCGAGACGAAGCGGATCGGGGAGTCGGGGGCAGCGGCAGGGTGGGGCAGGCTCGGCCTGCTGAGGTTCGAGGTGCTCGGAGGTGACCTCTGAAGACACTGCGAACCTCAGGGAAGCCATGAGCTATGGCCGCTTCCGCTGGCCGCGCCCCGCTCGCCAAGTGTCGGCGTGGCCTTGCAAGGCCATTGCATCCTTATCGTGCTTCCTTACTCTACGGGTTGACGGTAGTGGGCGTTACGGATTGGGGGTTGAAACAGTTTTTGCGGCCCATCATCATCACCAGCGCGCCATCTCTGTGCGGCGACCCGAGGCGCAGTTTTCTGCGAAGCGCCTCAAAGTCTTGATCTGATTCTGAGGGGTACAGTCAAACACCCTAATAAGGACGCGCGGTAAGGACGCAAGACCCTTGGAAGCCGAAGTTGGGATTTTTGGGGCGGCGGACGACGAAAACCCCAAGACGAAACCAAGGAAGGACGGAGACGCAAGAGCAAGGAAGAGCAATGACGCAAGGGTACCCTGAGCAACGTCGCGCGTCCTTGTTAGGGTTTTTGACTGTATGCGATGTATCGTTTCTTCTGGTATTGAATCATGTGAGCCTTGTGTGGCCTCGAGATTCCACCTTTGGAGTGCATTGGAGATCGCTAGAGTTCGGTAGTCGATGAGGACGCGCTGGTATAGCGTCGAGTTGGCGTCGATTAGCGCCGACTAGCGTCGATCCGCGTCTGTCAACGTCGTTTCGCAAGAGCCCGGAGGAGGAGGAGGAGGACGACGACGATGATGAGGACGAGGAGGGGGAGGAGGAGAAGGAGGAAGAGGACGAGGAGGACGAGGGCGAGGACGAGGTGGAGGAGGAGGAGGAGGAAGAACGCCACACGCGTAAGCTTAAGGTCTGGCCAACGCAAAAGGAGGAGAAGGAGGAGGAGGAGGCATAGAGAGGAGGAGGAGGAGGAGGAGGACGAGGAGGAGGCATAGAGAGGAGAAGGAGGAGGAGGAGGAGGAGGAGGAGGAGGAGGGAGGAGGAGGCGGAGGAGGAGGAGAGGAGGAGGAGGAGGAGGAGGAGGGAGGAGGAGGGGGAGGAGGAGGGGGGAGGGGGGGGGGAGGGAGGAGCAGGAGGAGGAGGAGGAGGACGACGACGAGGAGGAGGAGGTCGAGGACGAGGAAGCAGTGCGGTGCCGCTGGCCCTCCGTCGGGCGCGCCGCGGCCTCCTCTGGCGCCCGCGGGCAGGCCAGGCAGCGGGCGAAGGACTCCATGGAGGCCGCCGGCCCGCCTGCCGCGCCACCGGGGGCGATGCCCGTCCTCGCTCCTCCTCCTCCTCCTCTCCTCCTCCTCCTCCTCCCCCTCCTCCTCCTCCTCCTCCCCCCTCCTCCTCCCTCCCACTCCTCCCGTCTCCCCCTCCCGCTCCTCCTTCTCCTCCTCCTCCTCATCCACCCTCCTCCTCCTCCACCTCCTCCTACTCCTCCTCTTCCTCCTCCTCTTCCTCCTGCGGCGAATCTGTGTAAGACCCAGGCAGAGAAGATGCGTGCCGGCAGGAGAGGTCGCTTCGCCGCGGGCCTCCTATCCAGCCATTGGGCAGCCCTTGGCTCAGGGTTGGGGGCGCGCGATAGGCAGCCTCTGCGAGATGCCGTCTCCGCTTTTTCTTTCGCTGCAGTTCGGCCCGTTGCGCCAGGGCCGATGCGGCCACCCTGAACGCCGGGCTTGACGCTGCAGCGACTGGGCCCCTGTTCGTGGCCGAGTGATTCCGTGATCACCGCGAGCTCTGCATTTCTTGTTGCGGGAGCTCCCCGAGCTTCGGGCCTTTGCGCCTGCTCGGGGTTCCCTTGTCCCAGGCGGAGTCTGTTTTTCTTGCGACCTGGGCGCCGCCCTGCGAGGGCCGACGCGCGGGGGCGCGAGGAGCGCGGCAGAACACGCAGGAGCATGTCAGAACACACAGGATCACGGCAGAACACACAAACACACATTTGAGCACGGCAGAACAAGCAGGAGCGCGGCCGAACACACAGGAGCACGGCTACACACAGGAGCACGGCATTACACAGGTGCACGGCAGAATTGACGGCAGAGCACGCGAGAGCACCGCATAACACATAGGAGCAGGATAGAGCACGCAGGATCACGAGGAGCACGGGAGAGCACACACACACAAAGCACATAGGAGCAAGGCAGAACACAGGAGCATGACAGAATACACAGGAGCGCGTCATATCACACAAAACACATAGGAGCACGGCAGAACAAGCGGCAGCACGGCAGAACACACAGGCGTACGGCAGAACACATAGGAGCACGTCAGAACACGTAGCAGCACGGCAGAACGCGCAGGACCACGGCAAACCACACAGAGCATCATTCACACAGCCGCATCCACAGGCGCACGCACATTGGCACACACACACAGACACGCAGGCACATCGGCTCACACACACGCAGGCACACGCACATGCACACGCACACACAGACAAATACACACACACGCACACACACACACATACGCACACAAAGAGAGAGGCAACATACGTTCACGCAGACCGCAGGAGCACGGCGGAACAGTAAGGCATAACACAGCAGTGCCGCAGACCACCACGCACGGACACACATGCGCAGATTCCGCACACGCACGCGCACGCGCAAACGCACGCATGCCACGACATATCTGCGCGGCAGACCACCATCAAAGCAGACTTCACATACCTAGTGAACAAAAGCTGCGCTTCCCGTTCTTGTCTGGCCAGGTTACAAAAGGATTCTTGTGGTGGCGGATTAGAAGGGATTCTTTGTGTAGCGGATTACATCAAGGATTCCGTGCGTGCCGAACTACAATTCATTTTGTTTTGCGGCGAGTTGCAGAAGGGCTGTTATGTGGCAGATCACAGGAGGATTCTTTTGTGGCGAATTGCAAGTCTTTTCCTTTTATACGGAGGCTTACACGATGATTCCTGTCGTGCGGGGTTACAAAAGGATCCTTAGCGCGGCGGATTACAACATGGATCTCTTTTGTGGCGGAAAGTTCAAGGACTCCTTTTATAGCGGCTCACAAAGAGATTCCGCGTGTGGCAGATTAGTAGTGATTCGTGTGGGGGGCGGATTACAACATTAATTGCAAAGGCGGTTTTGCAAGGGTCGATTGTCTGGAGATTCTTTTGTGTTTGATTGCAAATGTACGCCTTTGGACGGTGGAGCACAAACGGATTCCGCGTGCGTCGAATTTAAAGTTATGTATATGTTATGGCGACCTGCATAAACACATTCGTGGCGGATTAACGATGATTTCGCTATCGTAGCGGGTTGCAAAAAATCCTTGTGTAGCAAGTTGCAACGGGATTCCGTTTATGGCTGGGGCGGGCGGCAGAAGGTTTACATAAGGATTTTTTCCCGTGGCCGTTTACAACGTGTTTTTGCTGTGGCGGGTGACAGATGGACTCCATTGGTGGCCCTCCGAACCAGGGGGGCGCAAGAAAAGCATTGGACAAAGAACACGAGAATCACTGGGTTAGCAAAAACGCAAATTATATCTGACCCCGGGAAACATAACATACCCACACTACTTGGAATCGTTTGGCAATCAACACCACAGCAACAAACACATTCCTTCATTTATTGCGTTACCCAGCTGCAGAGCTTTCGCAAGGTGTTGGGCTCAAAGGATTGGAATTTCTATGATGTTTATTTGGTTTCGGCTTCCAGAGGTAAGGACGTTGTCTGTTTTTGTGTATCTAGATACACATATATATATATATATACTCCGTTCACAACAGTCGACCAATATTGAACCTGTATCAATTCCGCTATGCCTCAATGCTTGTGTTCTTGTTGTCCCTTTGTTCGTTACGAGGAATGCCATCCAGGGGATCCATCCATAACTGGCCACAGAGGGGGATGAATACAGGTACAATCCGTCACAGAAGGAACGTATATTTAATCAGCCACAAACGAGATCAATTTTACATTCGCCACAACAGGATTCCGCTTGTAATTCGCAACAGAAGGATTGTTTTGAAATGGGCCACAGACGGACTCGTTTCGTAATCTGCCACAAGTGAAATTCTTCAGTGAACCGTTACAAAGGGAATTGTTGTTGTATTCCGCCATCAAGGGAAGCAATGTTGTAATCCGCCACAATCGGAACTCGTTTTGTAATCCGCACAATAAGATCTTTTGTAGAAACCGCAAGAAGGAACATCCTTGTGTATTCCATAGCAGCAGAATAACACAACAGAAGCGAAACAAAAACACCCAACGTCATTAAGCGTTGAGAAATAGTTCCCAGGGGAGAAGTCTGAAGAACACCACCGAAGGGTCCTACAGGCCCACACCCCTCGAGGCCTTGCAGAGTCCACCACCGAGGCCCTCGAAGTCCCGTTCTTCGTGGCTGCGACGGCCTCCCCACCCCGCCCCACCCCCACCGCTCCTTCGCAGCGGCGACGCCAGGCCGAAAAGATCATCAGCCCGTCGGGGGCGCCCAGGGCCGTCCTCTGCAGGAAGAGGCTTCCCGCAGTCGCGTGCAGCGGTGTGTTGGCGGCGCGCTCATCCTGAGCTGCTTTCAGCCGTGAGGGCCCTCCTCCCTCCTGTCCTCTGTGGCCGCTTCTCCTCCCGCGCGTCCTCTGTGGCAGCCGGACACTTCGTTTGTCGCGTGTCCCCCGCTCTGTGAGCGTTTGTGCGGATTGATTTTGCGGTGCTGCGACGTTAAAGCAAGCAGCGTTGTTGGCGCCTGCCCTGTCCCTTGCTTCAAAATGAAAAATTTTCTGAGCCATCGACGAAGCCACCAGGGGGCTCCGCAAGAAAGGTGCGAGGGCTCCTGGGAAGCCCCGCCGCCTACTGAGGAAGCCTGCGCCCTCCCGCTTCCCCCACAGCGACAGTCGCGTGTCGCTGCACCTTGCTGTCGTTTTCTTGCCTGGCCCGACCTTCATCCATGGCAGGAATTGCATCTTGATCCCCTGCGGCAACAAAGAACCCCGCTTCCCCCCGCGGCATGCCGCCAACGCCAGGCGTGGGCGATTCTTGCCGGTGCCCGTGCGCGAAATTCGCCCCGCGCCGCTCCGTCCCCCTTCCGGAGGCCCTCCAGCTGGAGCTCCGGGGCTTCGGGGGCGCCGTGTCGGTGAGGTACGCCTCGTGGCCGCCGGACTGCCGGGTGGAGGCGCCTGCGGGGGGCGGCGTTTCTGGCGTCGTGCTGGAGGATCGATGCGGAGAGAATGGGGACGAATGTCGACAGCAGTTTTTGCCCTTTTTGACTCGGGGGACTCGGGTCGTTCTCCGGGGATGTATCGGGCGACAGGGGCCTCTGGGTCCCAAGGGAGGGGGAGGGGGAGGGGGAGGGGGAGGGGAGGGGGAGGGGGAGGGAGAGGGGGGGGAGGGGGAGGGGGAGGGGAGGGGGGGGAGGGGGAGGGGGAGGGCGACGGGGAGGGAGGGGGGAGGGGGAGTGGGAGGGGGAGGGGGAGGGGGAGGAGGAGGAGGAGGAGGAGGAGGAGGAGGAGGAGGAGGAGGAGGAGGAGGAGGCGGAGGAGGAGGAGGAGGAGAGGAGGAGGAGGAGGAGGAGGGGAGGAGGGAGGAGGAGGAGGAGGAGGAGGAGGAGGAGGAGGAGGAGGAGGGGAGGAGGAGGAGGAGGAGGAGGAGGATAATAATAATAATAATAGTAATAATAATAATAATACGAAAACGAATAAGCATAATAAGATGGAGAGTAAGCATAATACTAATAATAATACTACGAGGAACAATGTTGAGACACATCATAATACGATTAAGAAGACGACTATTAATAATAGTACTAAGACGATGAAAAACATCATAACACGATAAATAATGCCGGGCGTGGTCTTACAAGCCCGGCTGTTCCATGTTTTTTGTTTTTTGTTTGCGGTGCCTCCGCTTCCACTTCCAGATGCGTGGCCCCGCAGCTGCCTCAGGGCCGCGCCCAGCCAGCCCAGCTCCCACGAAGCTTCATTTGTCCCCAGGGGGCGGGAGGTGCACGGGCAATCCGCAGCTCGCTGGAAACCGCCCTGCACCCCCAGGCAGGCCCCAAAGGCACCACCAGGAATTGAACCCAAGTAGGTCAGATTGTGGAAGATGGTCTGCCCCATTTCACTACAACACCATCATATTTTGAGGGAAAGGGGGGCATGTCCTGCTTGCCCCATTCTATTGCCCTTTCCCATTTCACTGCATTGCCTCAGGCACGCGGGGGGGACGGGGGGTGGTGCCTGCGGCTGCTGTGCCTGTGCCTGCGGTGGCCAGGGGCCAGGGGCCTTGAGGTCTCACGCGCCCTCGCCCCATCAATGTAGGGCCTCCTGGAAAGCTTCTGGAGGCTGCGGGGACGCGGGCCCCAGACGCCCCAAATCTCCCCCCCCCCCTGGCAAGTTGGGGTGCAACAGCCATGCCCCTCAGGGCAATCGAATTTCAAACGCGGGAAAAATTGCCCGCGTAGTTGTGGCTGCGGTGGCTGCCGCGCGGCAGTGGTAGGAGTAGCTGCGGCGGTCGTGGTGGTGGTGTGTGTAGTTGTAGTGGTGACAGCGGTGATGGCAATCGTAGTAGCAGTGGCCGTGGCGGCAGTAGTGCAGGTAGTGGCTGCGGTTGTGGTGGTGGTGGCAATGGCAGTAGAAGCGACGGCGGCAGCAGTAGAAGCACAGCAGTAGAAGCAGCAGTAGTAGTAGTAGTAGTAGTAGTAGTAGTAGTAGTAGTAGTAGTAGTAGTAGTAGTAGTAGTAGTAGTAGTAGTAGTAGTAGTAGTAGTAGTGTAGTAGTAGTAGTAGTAGTAGTAGTAGTAGTAGTAGTAGTAGTAGTAGTAGTAGTAGTAGTAGTAGTAGTAGTAGTAGTAGTAGTAGTAGTAGTAGTAGTAGTAGTAGTAGTAGTAGTAGTGGTAGTAGTAGTAGTAGTAGTAGTAGTAGTAGCAAGTAGTGGTAGTAGTAGTAGTGTAGTGGTAGTGGTAGTAGTAGTAGTTAGTAGTAGTAGTAGTAGTAGTAGTAGTAGTAGTAGTAGTAGTAGTGGTAGTAGTGGCAGTGGTAGCAGTAGTGGTGGCGGTGGTAGTAGTAGTAGTAGTAGTAGTAGTAGTGGTCGTAGTAGTAGTAGTAGTGGTAGTGGTAGTAGTAGTAGTAGTAGTAGTAGTAGTAGTAGTGGTGTTGGTGGTGGTAGAAGAAGTGGTAGTAGTAGCGGTGGTGGTGGTAGTAGTAGTAGTATTGGTGGCAGTGGCGGTGGTAGTAGTAGTAGTAGTAGTAGTAGTAGTAGTAGTAGTAGTAGTAGTAGTAGTAGTAGTGGCAGGTAGTAGTAGTAGGTGGTGGTGGTAGTAGGCAGGTCGGCGGGAAGGTGGGTAGGTAGGTGGATAGGCAAGTAGGTAGGTAGGTAGGTAGGTAGGTAGGTAGATAGGTTGGCGGTTAGGTGCGTATGTAGGTAGGTATGTGTGTAGGTGGTGGTGGTAGTAGTAGTAGTAGTAGTAGTAGTAGTAGTAGTAGTAGTGGTGGTAGTAGTAGTAGTAGTAGTAGTGGTGGTGGTAGTAGTAGTATAG